CTCCTGCATCTCTTCTGGACGGTCTTCTTGTTTAAGTTGCTGAATGCTGTCATAATCTTTGCCTTCAGTTCATCTTTAGTGTAACAGGGAGATTGGTTGGTTTTTTGTTCAACTGCACCCCACGCATAATAATCAAGTGGATTAAGGCCTGGGGTGTTAGGTGTCCGGGATGTAAGAAGTGATATAGCCTCAGAAATTGTTTGATGGCCAAGACTGGATTCTTTTACTTGTGCGGCAAGGAGCAGAATCCTGTTGCCAGATAGCAGTCACCCTCTTGACCCAGGGCAGCACTACCTCCTCAAGGCACTTTATGGCGCTTTATGGCATTGATGTTGATCTGAGGCCCTCATCATCAAATTCAGGAGTTCTTTTCTTATCAGAACGATCGGAGTGAGTTTTCCCAGCTGCTGTACCTTCATAGTCGCCATTAAACTTATCTAACTCTTTTGAAAATCCTCTGCCCTGTCCTCAGATTGACACCCAAACACTCTGAAAGGTTCGTATTGCAGCTTCTGGTGCAAATACCAAGCAGTACAGCATGCCGTTTCAAAACTTCTGGCGGAGTAATTTGCGTCATGGTGTTCTTTTTCTCACAGACGTTGCCCAACTGACTCTACTATACTCTTCAAAAACAAAGAAGGCGCATGCGCGAAATTAAATATATAACGACAATTTACTCATCGCATCCTGTATATATGACCAAGGTTTGATTTGGCGAACTAAGATTTTTTGACGATTCTTCCCAATTGTTACAGTCTCCACATCCCATCATACAGAAAACAAGTGGAAAGTCCTCAGATCTGTTCCAGTGAAGTTTTAATGAACAGAATATTGTATGAATGTAATGAATATGTATAAATGAAAAGGTGAAGAATATTATTTAGACAATGAATGATTTTCATAAAACTGTGAAATATTCGGTTTCTTTCAAAGACAACAGAGTAAAATCTAAGATCTTTTAAAATGAATATTTAATACAAATACTTTCTAAAGAATGCCTATCAAGTTTAAATTGTTTTAGTGAAACAGTGGCACACGTAGCGGGGATCGAACATATTACATTGGAAAACTAGTTTATTAATCATTCACCTACAACGGCCATTCTTTCTTCTTTCTCTGTATGAGCTAAATCCTAATCATACAAAAATAACATATTTGAACATATAATTGAATATTTTGCTGTGGTTATCAATGGTTTACATAAAGACGAGAAACTGGAAAAATATTTGTGTCTTGCGAAGAGGGTAAATCGGCTGAGTGATAGGTTTAGCTGATCTGTTTCTTGCAGTGATAGCTACGTCGTGTCGGAGAGGGTGGTTAGGTTGACGACTCAATTTATCCATTCCTTGACAATATATTATCATTGGTTCGTTATTCAATGCTAGGTTCCAGGCTGGCATTATGTGGCAGACCAGGAGAGAAGAAGCCTGACAGAGCGATATCAGATTTCCTGTAGGTTGGGCGTTGACACTGTCATTTGTCTGTGAATGATATCCAGCACTTTCTTGCTACTTTTGTCTTAAGTACGGAAAACAGGGTTACGGTTAGAGTTGTCCTCATGTTATTTGTACAGTAAATGATATATTATCTAGTAAATAGAAGTGATGTGTTTAATATGACTGACGAAGGAAAAGGTACTGTGCTTCTGTGACATCCCCTTCCAACATTAATGTTGGAAGGGGATGTCACAGAAGCACAGTAAGCAGGTCTGTTTGAATAGATCGACTCATACATTTATCTGTTTAATCCACATACAAATGTCCTCTTATGTTAATCCTCGGCTAATGTTAGTGTTTAAATCAAAGTGATTCCGGATCCATTTGCATATATTTATACAGAAAATGTTCTGAATTATGTTTCATATCTAAAATATTTTTCTTATTCTCTATATATTTTTCTATCATGCTATGTGATGTTAATTTTCATATGATTGAAATTGAGATGTTAAGGTAATTTTTATTAGTTCCGATACATTAATTTGTGACTTGTTTTGTCCTCAAACAATTGCATTTTATCACATTACAGACACCTTTTCCTTCGTCAGTCATATTAAATTTAAGCCATAGTATGAAAAGTGTTTTACATGTTTCAAGTTACGGGTTCTTCTATATGTGCCGTATCCCTTCAGAGCGTAGGCGATCATGGCTCTCGACAACTTCCTGTCCCTTAATAAACTTTGTCTTTCTGTTATTTCTTCTAAACACTGTCTCATCAACAATTTACTCAAGCGTACACTAAGCACACATGTGTTGTGGTTGTTTTTCTATGTTCTTCTTGCTCAATCGATCTCTTCCATGAGTATCAGATTATCCGAGGCCTCCTCGAGATCATCCCAGAAGAATTAGACGAAGAAAAAAAAAGTACGAGTGCGATTTTAAATATTTTCGAAGTTAGTTCTTACTTTAGGAGTAATTTCATTTGGCATTTGGAATCAACTTAGAACATTCTGAAATAAAACAACAAATAGATGAAGAAAATAGTTAATTATGGAAAATACGGAATTACATATTTTTGCATGGATTGGGGTGGCATATTCAAATTCTCTTCAGATATTTACTGATTTATGTTTGTAATATTTTAGGTTTAAAGAGGTTTGTAAATTTAATATTTACAAAACTCTTTAAACATAAGTATTTATATAAAATAAGTTGAGTATATCTATCACGCATGCAATAAATAAAAGTTATAACATACATATATATATATATATATATATATATATATATATATATATATATATATATATATAAAAGTTAATTTCAGTTATTTTCTTTCTGAAATTAGGTTTTTAGTATTTCGTAGTTTTTGTAATAGTTATTTTGTTTTCAGCAAAAGAAGAATCTTGAGTAATTTTTAGTTATTTTTCATTAATTTAAGAGTTTCCCGTTAATCGAAACATTTTTCTGCGTTTCTCTATTATTAAGTTTAATTAGTTTTCAGTGCTATTTTATTATTAAGGTTGATTTAATTACTTTTATTTTGCGTTATTTTGCTGACACGTATATCATTAAGTGGTAAAAGTTGGCACGCTGACAGATTGTTCGTCAAATAGAATTTATACTATTGTTTCATTGCATATAAATGGCAGTTGAAGTCACGTGTTTGAAAAGCTGATACGAATCAATTATAACACAAACAGTACTTGACTATTTTCCTTTAACAACATTATTTTTGCTTTTTAATATTAATGGTTATCCTTTACTGTTTACAACTCTAGTATATTGATAGTATTGCATGTGTTAATTCTCTTGGCATTGTATATTTGCATACATGTCGTATCGTAAGGTGGAAAATCTTAATGAAGTGAATCACACCTTCTATTTATGACTATATGTTGTCATACCAGCAATGAATCCATTTATGCTTTCTTTGATATTTGATAATATCCAAATATGCGATAACAGATTTTGTAAATTTTATATCATATTAAGGAGCATAGACCAAATTAGTTATTAACACAAATGTAAAATAGGTTCATCTATTCTTTTTATTCCCGGAAATTTACCGCATTTACTGAGTTCGATTTTTAACCTTTAATTATTTTTTTATATAAATAAAAAAATATACTGTAATTGAAGGTTCATAATGTTGCCTTGCGCACATTGTTTCATATTATTTTCATAAAATTAGTAAGTTGCCGTAGAAAAAAAAATGATTTCCTCGTTACATTCACATTTGAATTTATTTAATCGACAATTGAAATGAATTACTTTTGTAAACTTAATCTATAAATGTTATGGAATATATAATGTCATTTTCCGATATGGGTGAACATGAGGCAAAATGCTGTTAATATTGTGAACTTTAGTTTCGACATTCACCATTATGATCAAAACCATTGAACAAAATCTGCGAGTCTTTTTGTGGTCTTTGGATTGTATTTTAAGCATCGTCACTTTTTCTTAGAGAAGGTTGTACTCAAAAGTGTTTCATCGCATTGAATCATGAGTAATGTAGAATGTTCGTAATATTAAGTTATGTTAACAAAGTTAAGAATATATAAAATGATTTAACTCTGGTTTTCAAGATTACAAGTGAGATTATCCCAGTTATCTTTTTCTTTTTAGAAGATGTTGGTTTTACGGATCATTTTAGATAAACTTTACATATTTAACTACCGAAAAGAAGATATCAATGTTTAATTAAATAGAAAAAAAAATGATTTTATGAAGAACGAAGTGTAGAAAAAATTGAAAAATCATTTGGCAATTTTCTTTCTTTTATTCAGAAAATCAAATTAAATAAGGCAAATATACAGATAACCGAAAGCATTTTTATGTGACCAGCGAAAAATATGTTATATAATGGATATCAAAATTAAGAAAATAATTAGATTGAAACATATTTAGAGAAATCGTAATTCTAAAATATATATTCTAGAAACAATAAATAAAGAAATGGAATATTAATGGCAAAAATATATTGGAGATAATAAAAAAGAATTATGAAAATATTTTAATTCTGAGAAAAAAAAAAAAAAAACGAAATGGGTTTTATAGAAAAGACAAGATAGCGAATGGACAATTATAATTTTTGGTGCTAAATATTCTCACCTTAGAATTGTGATGTTTCTTCATATTATTGCCGATTTCTCTGATGAAATCAAATCACACCATTTAAAATAGCACTTTAATAAATTTCTACTAAATTATTCCTTATTCTTTATTTTTCTTTTTCATAAATACAAACATTCGCAGGTTTATATAAATTCTTACACAAACTTTCATTATGCGTATATTATTGCTGTCGACTTTTTAATCGAGTATGGCTATTTCTAACATATTAACATTTAAATTAGGAGAATTATTGCATGGAAAATTTACAATATTACTCTAATTTTACATTAATTTTACACTAAATCATGCATATGCAACACAAAAATATATTTTATTAAAAGTGTTCAATATAAATTACTATGTCCAAATTGAAATATTATGCTATAATATTAAAATAAATATTCATTAATTCCACATAGAAAAACTGAATAAAATCAGTAGGCTTACAGCCACATCACGTTGAAATTACGGTTTCCGTGTGATCACCGACGTTAAGCAACATTGAACCTGATCAGTACCTTGATGGTTGACCGCTTGGGAATTTTAGGTGCTGTAACCTTGTAATCTACAGCAGCGAACTACCACAAACCCCAAACCGTAACTAAAAATCTTTGCTTCCAGTGGAACGACGAGAATTGTGATGAAACTCCAAACGTCAATTCTTGATAACGTTTGTAGTTAATTAATATTAAAAGAGAAAAAAAAATTGCTATTTTTGTTGCAATTTAGTATCTTATTAGTTATATATAATATTTACTTCATAAAAGTTTTGCAGATGATATGAGTAAAAATATGTATAAAAACATTAACATGACAATTCGCAATCTTTGTTTAATCAAAAAATGATTCAATTGCGAGAAAACTTACAATTGGAGAGACAAAACTGTTTGGAAACCGTCGATGGTTGATCTCGAAGGTTTGAACGTAATGGCTTTGTTCCAACTTTTGATCACGCCAACCAATGGCGTTCTCTCCGAAAAACAGAATCTAAAGTCCGGTCAGCATAGCCGCAGTGTAAAACACATGTGGATTCTGTGGATGTTGAACAAACACAAACTAGCCTTAGCAAGTGTTTCCAACTTACCGCCACAGCGGCCAGCCATTATAAATTACAACAATCAGAGATGTTTTTTTAAATGAATCGATGATGCACAAATGCGTCACAGTGCGCTATGGAGGAAAAGAAAACAAACTGTTTAGAAAAACACACACATTAGCATCATTCATTAATAACTTTTATTTATTGAAATAAATCGTCTATTCGTATATAGCATCTTTTAAAAATAACTAAAGAGCAATTAGGGATTGTATTATGCAAGTATTAAAATATCATAGGTAGCAGTGAATGTTAAAATAATTGGATTGGATTCTGTCAGATATTTTCCAACACTTGTTGAGAGGTTTTCATATTCAGAAGAAAACAAAAATATTTACAAGAAACGTGCATATCTACAGGCACCGAAACAGTTATGTCCCAGGAAAAAAAATACAAATTAAAAGATATCAACATAGGCTACCTTCAAAGTAAGTAGCCCGAAAATAAAACGCATATGAACTCAAATACATTCTAATACGCACAGATCATAGGCGGAGATGATTGATTATCGGCCCAAGACACATCGCAAAATCATTTTCAAAAGTCCTTTTCAACTATATTGTCAAAAACAACATCGACATTTTTTGAGATTTCTTGTTCTAGATAACTATCTATTATAATTACAAGCAACTTCTATTTCGTTTGGTCTACAATTTGATCTCAATCTTTTACAATTTCATGTAATTTTATTGCAACTAATCTGCAATTCGATACCAATCCATTACAATTGCGAGCAATTTATATTCCAACTGATATTCCAATTGCTACTAATTACTTCAATTCTATTCAATTTATATTGCAAACATTGTAGCAACATTTTTATACTAAACTTTTACAATTCTATTCAATTTCTATCATAATTTATTTATTAATTGCTATTAATATATTATAATTCCTGGTAATCTTTATTTCCATTGACCTACAAATTGCTACAAATGATACAATTTCTTTCAATTTTTATTACATTTTATCTATAAATCAGCTAAAATTCTATCCCATTTCTCTTACAATTGATCTACATATTTCTTTTTGTCTTTTAAAATTCTATCAAGTTTTTACTAGAATTGATGTATAAATTTCTGCTAATCTACTTTTTCTGTTCAATTTCTATTACAATTAATATACAAATCCACACTGCGTAAATGTGCTTCTTATTTAAAGTTTTTCAGCCATTGAACTAAATCATCATTATTGACCCACATCTTATCCAAAATTACTGGCTTATTAAATTTACCAAAATTCTTTAATTAATGACTAGTGAATATGTTTCTTATCAAGATACTTTCCTTAACTTTCTCTGAATTTGCGCCCATGTTCCAAAAACATTCGAATTTCATTTTGATAAAACGATTCTTGAACTCAGTGACGTATTTATTAAATTTGGAACTTCGAAGGTATCATTACATTTTTGAACAGATAAGAAATGTTGCTCCCATCGCATCCAATATAATGCGATGGCATCAATTATGGTCATTATCTTCTGTGAAGAAGAATTACCATCCAAATCCGTTATTATCTTTTGTCGAAAGAAAGTAACGTGTGAATAGGTGTGTGATTTTCGAGTTTCTTTAATCTGAAAATATCCTTTTTTCTTCAATTGCGGTGCACAAATTTAGAATTAAATTTTAATGGTTTGTATTAAATTTTTCCAGGTTTTAGTAATTCATTATACAGTACACGTTTCATATTCCACCAAATACATATGCCACCAAATACAGAAAACTAAATGACTTTTTCGAATAGGTTTTATGGTTATGGTTGGTACTCTTGAATGGTTGGTACTTCTGAATATCTTGGATTCGCCCATGTTTTCGATTATCGTACTGCACCGTCTTTTTATCTCCCGTAATCTTTGTAAATTAGAGCTGGTGAGATACTCTGTTCAATAAGAATCCCTATGAGATTTATTTTCCCGTAATTGAATCTTCTCTATAGTTTACAATTGTTGGATGATTAACACCAAATTTTTTCAGACAATTTCGATTATGATTGAGTAGGATAATCATCCAAAAGAAGTTACAAGTCATCAATTCCAAAGTTTTATGGTCACCCACTGCGTGGAATTTCTGCCAAATCAAATTTACCTTGAATTTCAGAAACCATTCACAAAACTAATTCTTCCTAATCGGATTATCTTCATAGGCTTCATCAACTATCTTTGTTTCTGCTGCTGAACTTGAAAACGAAAACCATATATTATGGGATCTGCCATTTTTTCTTTTTCTTTTTTTTCTCTCATTACGGAATAAATGAAAATTGAATACAAAAATCAAAATCTGTTTACAAAAACTTTTAGTAAATGTTAATCCAATACAAGTTCAAGAAGCTATTTAAGGTAGAGAGTAAATGAGTGAGGTTGCTGTAAGGGATGTAAGAGGATGAAATAAGTGCAGATTATAAGGATATGACGAATTAATTACGGTTAAGATTTTAATAGGGGCGGTTTAAGATTTTAATTATTTTGACGACCTCAGTGGTAAATTACATTTTCTATTTCTTTTTCTTTGTGGATAAAAAAAAATGTGTCTTTCTGTTTTCTAAGCGTAAGAACAAAATCTTGACATTCGGTTATATTATTAATATTGAAAATTTATTTGACGTTAATTCAATTTTAATATCAATCTTTCTAAAGCAGATCGCCATTTTTTATTTATTACATTTGCAACGTCGAAACTTTTGCCTATTTTTTAATTTGCGCTAAGATTACATGGAACATTTTAACCATTTCAAAACAAAAACTACTTTCATCATGAAAGATAAGATAAACAGACAGAATGAAACATAAAGAAAAAGTGATTTAACAACTAAAGTTATCGAATGAAATTCATTTTTCATGGAAAAAAAACCTCTTCAATATGCATTCATAAGTGATTTTAGCTGCTGCATATAAATATTAGCATTTCGTATTCAATTCCAATTTAATGTCTATTAAATAATGGTTTCAAGGGCAATTTTATGCAACTTTGCTGAAAAATGGCAAAATATAACAAAAGTAGTTTTAAAGGGTGTTTTATATGAAATTTTAAGCCATAAAATCTATTTAAAAATAATTGTAGCCAATATGTTTATAGTCTGATAATAAAGTCAGTGTGGCCGGAATAGTGAAAATGGTGATAATATATATTCATCGATGGAGAGTTGTGTTAAATAGCAAATCACTTCTATTAATGCTGTGAAAAGTTTCTTCCCTATAAATTGTATAACTCTCAAAATATAATGCTTCTGAAATTACTAGTGTTTTACTATTCCTTATAGTGTGCATTATCTCTTACGTACTCTGTATAACGGAGCGATTTTAGACTTATGAAAAGAAAAACTCAAATGCTATTTAAGCGGAATTTGGTCATTATTAGATTTGATTTTTTTTTTTTTACTGATGTTCACTCAATACAAGGATCAAAAGCCACTCAAAGTAGACAGATAATGAGAGGGTGTGTGATAGGAACGTAAGAGGGAGCAGTAGAAGATAATTTTATGAGGATAGAGAGGATTGATAAAGATTTTCCATAGATTTGAACATATTAAGGTTATTCCTTGACTGATGGAATGGTTATGGCTATAGAAAATGGATTTGGCGAACAGTGTTCAAATTCCGGTTGGTACTCTTGGACTTTGTTCGAACTAACTTTCTGAGAGAAAGCATAGATTCATCTCTTCTTCCTTCGTCCAGTTTAAAGGGAAATAGTTGAGTGGACTAGACGCTCTATCCCTGGTTGGTAACCAATCTGAGTTAAGGATACCTCGGAAATTAAAGCCGTGGAGAAGGCAATGGGACAACAAAACTACTTTTCCCAAAAACAGTTATAGTGATTTACAGATACTATCGAAAAGAAAGTAGAATAGGGATATAATCCCATACGTTCTAAAGCGATACGACATTAAAAGATAAATGGTGTACGTTCTAAAGGGATACGACATTAAAATATATAATAACGTACGTTCTAAAAAGTTATGACATTAAAATATATAATGACGTACGTTCTAAAACGTTATGACAATAAACGTTATGACATAAAACTTTATGACATTAAAATATATAATGACATACGTTCTAAAACGTTATAAAATTAAAATGTATAATGGTATACGTTCTAAAAGGATACGGCATTAAAAGTTAACTGAAGAGTTACAACAAAATACGTTTTAGTAAAACGATCTTCAGGTGTCTTACATAACCGCTTCTTATCTCTTTTGTCTTTATCATACACAAGTAAACACATACAGGCGCTCACTGTCATACGTATACATGTATATATACATATGAATTTGCGTGTAGTGCTATTAATATTATGCCTGTTAATTAAGCTTCTGAAAGGAGTAAAACAATTATATTTTTATTAGAATGCATAATGAAGACAAAATGAAAACTGAAAAAGTCTTCAAACTAATTACCTTCTTTTACTTTTGACAAATTTAGTCCATTTGCAAAATAAATATAAGGAAACATATTTATTTCCGCA